GACATTTAATATACCAAAAATCAGCAATGTGGTGTATTTACTGTGTTATCTGTGAGAGGAAAAGAAGGCAGGTATGTTTGTAAATATGTCGAACACTGCTAAAGGGAAATTGAAGGAACTGGGAAAGTGGTTACACATGGGGAAGAAAGCAGAATCGCCAAGGGACAGAGCAGGAAGGAAAATGCATCTCATAATGTGCCTTTTCCTGCCTGCCTTTGGTTTGTGTATGACTTGTATGTGTTCAAAAACAGGCAAAAACTAAAATCTAAATCTGCTTGAAGTCAGAGATAGCCATTTGCTCATTAATTAAATTAAAATAGACCCCTGTTCACAGATGAGTGCTTAAATTAGTTGTAAAACAGCAATTGTTTGACAATTGAAGAAATATACCACTCAGTCAAGCATAAGCCTTCAAAGAGAGCATTATCCTGTAGGCTAAATATTCTTTGTCTGAGGAGAAGAGGTGAAGTCATGCCTGTCCTGTGCATAGTCCTTAGAAGTAAGAGGTAGGAGGGGTTAGAAATCAAGGCCAGTCTGAGCTACACAAGACCCTGTATGAGAAAGCCAAAACTAACTAACTAACTAACTACTAACTAACTTAACCTAACCAATCGACTAACCAAATAAGGCTACTTTTCAGGTGGTACCATTCATGGATCACCAAGGAACCATCTAACCCAAGACATTTCCTCCTATTTGCACCAGTCTTGAAAGCTCTTGTTTTATTTTATTTTATTTTTTTACTTTATTTTATTTTATTATGAAAGCATTCCATTTTCAAGAAGCATGTGTTCTGCTGCAGATGTTCAACATGGCTCATCTGGTAACATCAGTGTGGGTTCATTTGCAGGTTCTCTGGAAAAACGCTGTTTCTAGAGAAACAAAGTTAAGACGTTGGAAGGAAGACGAAAATCTCTCATTTAGCCCTGCAAAGAGGCTGACATTTAGACATTTGTCACAGGACTTCCTGGGTAGCAAGAGTCACCGTGGGGACACTAAGCATTTAGGAGAAATTAAAGAAAGGATACAATTTAAACGGAGTGTCACACGTAGACTTATGAAGCTCTACACTGAAATTCTAGAAAGGTCAAAACTCACAGTGATTGAATGCTGAGGCCCTGGGTATTCAGACATGTGTGCGGGTGGGAGTGTGTCATAATAGTATGCCGATGATAAAAATTTTATATGTATCTACTCCAAACATATGTTGATGGACAATATGAAAATACTGGTATCTTGTAGGATGAGTAATGTTGCTAACATAATGTGTATTTCCAGGAGCAGGCAAATTAGTTACAGTAGTTCAAGCAGGTGTTCCTCATCTTGGTGGTATTTCAGAGACTAACACGGAAGTGTGCCCTTCCCCAGGGGGAAAATATGCAGTGTCCCCGAAATTCTCTTCCCACAGAACTTTTTCATGATGACATAGCTCAGACTGTTGTTGGGGACACTGGATTTTCTGGATTAACTCCCGCTCTGACCCTCCCCTCCCATTTCTACCCGGACAGTCACGTTTACCTTCTGCCTTGCTCTCTCCGGAATAACCACACACGGTGCAGGTGGTTCAAGCCTGGAAGACACTGAGGATGTGACATGCGGAGATCACTTTCAGCATTCCCAATCACACCTCCGTGCATGGGTTCAAACAGGAGGTCCTGTTGTTTGGTTTGAGGATCTGGGGAACAGAGTCTCACCGTATGTCCCAGACAGGCCTTGGACCTGGCTATGGCCTGTGTCTTCTGAAGTAATTGCAATGTATGACAAGACTCAGAACGGTGTCAGATTAGAGCAGGCTTACATGCTGCACCTCAGTGAAGCCTGTCCTTTGGATACCATGGTGCTCCCTGGAATGCTAGCCTGCCTTTCTTTAGGCATCAAAAATGGGGTTTGGCCTTAGGGTTCCCTGAGGAAATTGTATTGTTTTTCTTACTTATCTTTCTTTGACTCACCTAATTTTTTAAAAAATATGATGATGTTAAAATTAAATTTTATTATATTTAGAGGTTCTAGACAAGAGGATGCTGATTTGAGAGTAAACAGTCCTGACCAACAGTCTATAATAGTGAGAGATGGAAGTTGATTGTGTGTCTGTGGGGGTGGGGTGGGGAGTGTCTTAGTTTGCTATTTATTGTTGTAATAAAGAATCATGACCAAGGGCTGGAGAGATGGCTCAGAGGTTAATAGCACTGGCTGCTCTTGCAGAGGTCTTGAGTTCAATTCCCAGCAACCACATGGTGGCTCACAAACCATCTGGTGCCCTCTTCTGGAGAGTGTATAAATAAATAAATAAATAAATAAATAAATAAATAAATAAATAAATAAATAAATAAATAAATAAAACAAACAAACAAATAAATAAATAAATAAATAAATAAATAAATAAATAAATAATAAAAAAAGAATCATGACCAAAAACAACTTGGGGAAGAAAAGGTTTACTTCACCTCACAGCTTTATAGTCCATCATTGTCTCAGTCCATTTTCATCATGGTGAGACATGACATCATGCAGGCAGACATGGTACTGGAGAAGGAGCTGAGGGTTCTACATCTTGATCCCCAGGCAGCAGCAGGAGACTGTGTGTCACACTGAGAATAGCTTGAGCATATAAGACAAAGCTCTTCTCCACAGTGACACACTTTCTCCAACTAGGCCACAGGTAATCCAACAAAGCCACATCTCCTAACAGTGCCACGCCCTGAGGGCCAAGCATTCAAACACACGAGTCTCTGGGGGTCATACTTAGTCAAATCACCACAGTCATGAAGGGAAGTCAGGGCAGGAGCTCAAGGCAAGAATCCGGAAGCCAAAGCCGAGGCAGAGGCCACGGAGGAACACTGCCTACTGGTTTGCTACTCATGGCTTGCTCAGAATGCTTTCTTATACAACCTAGGACCACCTGCCCACGGTGACACCACCCACAGTGAGCTGGGCCCTCCCACACCAATCATTACCCAAGACAATACTCCCACAGACTTGCCTACCAGCCAGGCTGATAGAGGTATTTTCTCAATTGAGACTCCTCTCTTTTGATAATTCTAGCTTGTATCCAATTGACAAAAAAACCTGAGACAAGATGTGTGTGTGTGTGTGTATGTGTGTATGTGTGTGTGTGTGTGTGTGTGTGTGTGTGTGTGTGTGTGTGTGTGTGTGTAGGGAGCAGAATATGAATATAGGCTTTCTCTAGCCTTAGTGTTAGTCTATTTTGTCCCATTAATAAAAAATTACAAAGCTGTCTTTAAAGAGCTTGAGAAATAATTTATTTTCTTCCATCTCTGGAAAGAGCGGCGAGGTGCTGGATCATGGTGCATGTGGAACAGTAGGACTTGGTTCAAGTCCCGTTCATTCCCCCGAAGCTCTACAGGGCAGGGTTGCCTCTCCCATCCTGGCTCTGCTTGGTAGTCACTGTGTTCATCTCACATTTCCATACGTTTTTCTATCCCTTCCTTCTTCCTTCTAGATCTTTTCCATTGCGATCCTTCTCCTCTCTTTTTCACTTGAGACGGGGTTGCCGAGAATGACCCTGAACCTCTGTTCCTCCCAGTGCCGGGATAACAAACAGGTGTGTGTCACCCCCCCCCCCCAGCTCCATCCTCCTCCTCTTCCTTCTTTCTCTCCCTCCGTTTCTTCTTTTCTTCTTAAGTAACAGAAACTGGGTTAGCTTCTCTTCTAACGTTTTCTACACCACCATTCACCCCATCATTACCTTAGCCCCGTGCACTCCATTCTCAATGAAGTGGGATAAAAACAGAAGGGGGAATATGGACAATTCTTATAGGTACACTTGTCTCTGACCTAGAAATGCTGTGCAAAATATTTACACATACATCCTATCCAAAATGTTACCTTCTGCTCTGTGCCTATTACCTGCGCACTGTTTTGTGTTTAGCCGAGTGCCACTGTACAGTCCTGCTCACTTGTTTAAAAGACTGACAAATTAGTGGACCAATAAGACATTTTTATTGATGCTCCTGCAACTAGTTCATTTTAAAAATTCATACCCTATTCAATATCACAGCACAGCAAATGGATTCAGAGTTTCCCCCAAAGTAGTAATTAAGCTGTCCATGATTAAAGCTAAGGAACAAAACATCCAGGTATTGGCCAGTTATGCGAATAAAGCTTCCCATCTATCTCCCTCTGGTTAGATAATCTGAACTCAGATGAAAAGGCCTTTTGTGTCTTCCTTGTGCTGAGCATGATAAGAAGCCCATTGAGTGGGAACTAGGTCAGCCGCCTTCCTCTGCTTATCGGTCATCAAAGCCTGTTTCTTAGCCTTAGAAGTTTCATGTCTATTAAATGGATTCCTCGTTCTTTTCTCTCCAAGCCAGAAGTCTGTGTGCTGGTCACGTACATTCAATCATGCTTTATAGCACAGTGTGGAAGGGGTAGGTTTCTATGATTTTTCCAAATTATGGTTATTTTTGACCCATATATCTAATTGTTTGCCGAACAAATACTTCATATATAAATTATTCAGACATATATCCAGGCTGAGTCCAGGATTACAGAGTCAAAGGTAGGAAAAATTTCAAAGAGATAACAAAAAAGAACTGGGCTAATGGCACACACCTATAATCCCAGTACATGTGAGGCTGACACAAGAGGATCCGAGTTCAAGACCAACCTTGGCTACATGAGACCGTGTCTCAAAAACAAACAAACAAAAGAATACAGAACAGTAACAGTAACAAAAAAAAAAAAAAAAAAAAGAAAGAAAAGAAAACAGTAGACTTTTCCGGAATGTGAAATAGTTTCCACTGGTTTCAAGTATTTGAACACTTGGTCTTCAGCCAGCCATGCTGCTTTTAGAAAGCTGGGGACCGTTTAGGACAGTGGTTCTCAACTGGGCGGGTCTCGACCCCTCCGAGAGATCAAATAGCCCTTTCACAGGGGTCACCTAAGACCATCAGAAAACATAGAGATTTACACTGTGATTCCTAACGGTAGCAAAATTACAGTTACGAAGTAGCAAGGAAAATTTTATGGTTGGGGGGGGTCACCACAACTGGATTAAAGGGCCGCAGCGTTAGGAAGGCTGAGCACCACTGCTTTAGGAGCTAGAACTTTGCCAGGGGAGTCCACGGCAACTGGGGTGTAGCTGGAGGGTTCCTAGCTCAGTCCTATTCCCATCTTTGCCTCCTGACTAGGGGATACAGTGTCTGTCACCCACATGCTCCTGCCGCCATGGAGGAGCTGGTACCACACCTTCGCCCACCGTGGTGAACTGTGTCTCCCTCAAACTACAGGCGGAAACAGACCACTCCTCCCTTAGCGGCTGCTTGTCAACCGGGAAAGTCACTCACACCATTGTTGCTTGTTTCGGGTCAGAGTGAAATCAGGATCCAATGGTGAGGACCGTGTCCTGTTGCCGTGGAAACGATTGTGCTGTCACCAGGTTAGCGCTGTGGTTTCACAGCGCAGAGAGGAAGCAGATGGTCTGGAAAAGAAGGGTTGGAAGAAGGTTGGTAGGAGCGTAAATGATAAGCAGGGACGACGTCACCGTAGCTTTACAAAAAGCCACTTAGGAAGAAAGGGCTCAGCCCGATGACACTACAAAGCATTTTCCAGTGAGAGGGATGCCTCAGGTACCTTAACTTAGAATGGAGTGCAGGTGAGAGAGCGAACAGCTGATGGTGAGCCCACCGCGTTCCACGGCTGACTCCCTCACTGCTCGGGCCGTGACTGTACTGACCACGGCTGACTCCCACCACTGCCCTGTCCACGGCTGACTCCCACCACTGCCCTGTCCACGGCTGACTCCCACCACTGCCCTGTCCACGGCTGACTCTCCCACCACTGCCCGGGCCGTGACTGTACTGACCACTGCTGACTCCCACCACTGCCCTGTCCACGGCTGACTCCCACCACTGCCCAGGCTGTGACTGTACCGACCACGTCTAACTCCCACCACTGCCCGGGCCGTGACTGTACTGACCACTGCTGACTCCCTCTACTCCCCGGGCCGTGACTGTACTGACCACGACTGACTCCCACCACTGCCCTGTCCATGACTGACTCCTACTACTCCCTGGGCCGTGACTGTACTGTCCACGACTGACTCCTACCACTCCCTGGGCCGTGACTGTACTGACCACGGCTGACTCCCACCACTGCCCGGGCCGTGACTGTACTGACCACTGCTGACTCCCACCACTGCCCTGTCCACGGCTGACTCCCACCACTCCCTGGGCCATGACTGTACTGACCACGGCTGACTCCTACCACTCCCTGGGCCGTGACTCTACTGTCCACGGCTGACTCGTACCGCTGCCCGGACCGTGACTGTACTGATCACTATTGAAGTCAGAGGTGTGGTTAATGCTGAGATTACTGGGAAGGTCTGCGTCTGCCATACATTTCAAGCAGCCTCATTTCTAGCCATGCTTGTTTTCTGATGGTTAACAGTCTCTGAACACCGGACAGCTGTGTTGGTGAATTTAGAGCCCACACAGTAAAGTCAGGTGCACCGTCTTGACCCTGACCCAATCCTGCATCTACCTTGCAACTCTGGAAACCAGCATCCACTGACAAGACAACGAAACTGGGATATTCTGAGATGGACAACATGCTGATTTTTAAAACTGTTAGCCCAGAATCTTTCTGTCATGATACTGTTCATTTAAAGAGCAAATAAATCCCTAAAGCTTATTGTCATGGTATGAATGTGTACCTCCAAAATTCCTGTGTTGAAATCTTTTTTTTTCAAGACAGAATTTTCTGTCAAGCCTTGGCTGTCCTGGAACTCGCTCTGTAGACCAGGCAGGCCTCGAACTCACAGAGATCCACCTGCCTCTGCCTCCTGAGTGCTGGGATTAAAGGCATATGCTACCACTGCCCGGTTTTGTGCTTTAAACAAAATGTGTGTGTGTGTGTGTGTGTGTGTGTGTGTGTGTGTGTGTGTGTGTGTGTGTGCAGGAGTCCATGGAGGTCAGAAAAGGTGTTGGGTCTCCTGGAGTTGCAGCCACAGATAGTTGTGAGATGCCCGTGGGTGCCGGGAATCGAGCCCAGGTCCTCTGCAAGAGCAGCCAGTGCTTTGCACTGTTGAGCTATTTCTCCAACCATCCTTAATCCCTAAAGGTCCTTCTCCCCCTGCTCCTCTCATCCTCCTCTTTCTCCTTCTTCCCTCCCTCCCTCCTCCCCTCTTCCCTCTGTTCAAAGCAAGCATACACGTGCACACATCAAACCTCTATTTATGTCCAGAAAAACTTTTGTCTTGCCCAAGCTTGCTTTCTTCGTTAGGGAGTGTTCAGGAGCAGGTGTGAGCATTCTCTCTCTCTCTCTCTCTCTCTCTCTCTCTCTCTCCTCTCTCCAGCTAAGTTTCCTAGACACTGAAGTACAGCTGCACTGTTCCATTCTTATGAGAAAGTCCGTTGTTTCTTCCCTGTGTCCTGTAAGTGTCAAAGCACAAGGTGGTGAGATCCTGAGGAGCGGTGTGTCAGGGTTGCAGCTAAGGCAAGCTGCTTGCCACAGCACTGTGAAATCGCCGCCTTTTGGTGGCATATTTAATTTGAATTCACATTATGGCTCCTGCACTTTTTCCAGAGAGGCTGACAAAGCAGAAGACCCATCATTTCTAATTATACTAAGTTTGATTACTTCAAAGTACCCTTTCACTGCATGAACGTAAGGAAATGAACTCTCTACTACGTATTAATGATGCCACTACATATGTGATGAATTTGCTCAGATCATTCTGGAAGCCACTTGACCGGCCTGAAGGAAGGTTTAAAGCATTGTCAGCACAAATGGTCTGCCCTTACCTCTGTTAGGAGGTCTCACTACTGTCTACCTTCTAAAGTCCCACAGCTGAGTGGGCAGCAGAGGACTCCGCAGAGGTGGGTGAGGGGACAGACCATGGCAGAGTGAGGCGCTGATGACTACCCACAGCCAGAGCCTCGATACCTTCCCCACCTGTCACTGCAGTCCTATCTGGTGGGTCTCCAACTGAAGTCACTGAGGCATCCATCAGGCTGACACTGAGGCGTCCATCAGGCTAACACAGAAGTGTCCATCAGACTGACACTGAGGCGTCCATCAGGCTGACACTGAGGTGTCTATCAGGCTGTCACTGAGGTGTCCATCAGTCTGACACTGAGGCGTCCATCAGGCTGACACAGAGGCGTCCATCAGGCTGACACAGAAGTATTTTTGTCCCCCTTCAGACTAGTTGTCATGCTTGAGAAGCAAGAGCTCTCAAAGGTAACAAACAGTTGGAGATCCTCACTGGATTCGTAGTCCCGGGGCCCAGAGAGGAGCCTTGGACTCTGAGGCAAGTCTCCCTTCCTAGTGGCAGCCTGGAGCCTCCCGGCAGGAACAAACCCTGGGCTCAGGAGGACCTAGCTAGCAAAGGTCCTGGCTCTGCCATGCAGGGTGGTTGGATGATCTTAGGCAAACTATTTGAACTCTTAGAGTCATTCCTTGCCTGGAGAATGTGATGGTAATCCCTCCAAAACTCTCCTGGACACACAGAGGGAGAAAAGAGAAAAATTAAAAAAAAAAAAAATCCGACTTCTCAGTCTTCCTGCAGTTTCATTTTCTACCCCTGAGAACTTATTTCCTTGCACTAGTGTGGAGGGTGAGGCGAGCCCCTGTCTAGAGAAATGGAGGGAGGAAAAAAAAAATCCATGGCCACCTCACCTATGCTGGCTGATGGATGTTTAGGAAAACCACATTAACCAAAAGCATCATAAAAGTGAGTCACTTAATGCCCCCTCCCCACATGCTTTGCCGGAGGAAATCTTGGAACTTCTGAGCATACAGGCTCTAAATTCCTCTTCGCCTTCGGCTTAAAGAACTACAAACCATCTGTCTGCCTTAAGACTGACAATATGCATGCTACTGTGGCCATCCAACATGCTGTCACACCCTCTGTACTGCTGCGGGCCGCAGGAATATATCATAAGAACTCAGCTGGTTATGGCAAAGTCACTACCTGGAGGAATCAGGGAATTCCTCCAGAGGAAGCCAAATCCCAAGGAGTTCTTGGTGTTACTTGGCTTGTTATATATCAGCTGTATTCTGTTACGAAAATCACGTGTGCTTTCATAGTTTTCCCAATTGATTTTTCCCTAAGAAGGGCTAACAATGTGGACTGATTACTCTCTAGACATACACATTCCAGGCATTTGGAGAACAG